GGTCGTGGCTCAGTGGTAGAGCACTCGCCTAGCACGTGCAAGGAACTGGGTTAGATCCTTAGCACCACATAAAAATAAATAAATAAGGATATTGTGTCCAACTACAATTAAAAAAGAAAAAAAAAAGAATTCTGTTAGCTGAACTGAAAAAGGCAGAGCACAAAAAACAGAGCTGGATGAGAGGACAGGCCCTATAGACTAGAAGACCTTGAATGGCAGGCTAAAAGATTAGGATTTTATGCTAGCAAGGAGAGGAGACACTGAAGTTTGAAGCAGGCAACTGACTTGCTGGAAATGTGTTATGAAGATGAGACTGGACTAAAGCAAGAAGATGATTTGGGAGATTGTGTAACTTCTAGCATGTGACTAGATGTACACCCCCTGAGGCAGTGTCATAGGAAGAGAGGGTGAGAGGCTAGGGTAAGAGTCAGTGCAAGGGAAGATCTCCTGAACCATGGAAATTGCTCAGGAGCCCTTTGGGAATTCTAACAGCCCTTTCATCATAGGTGCCCTTTCATCACAGGTGCCCTTCCTTACCTAGACCTCAGTGTTACATTACCCACCTAGATTACAAACTCAGGTCCCTAGAACAGGGATTGCCTCCTCTTGCTCTTATTGTGCCCAGGAGGGCAGGACTTTCTGGTTTACCATTGTTTGTCTCTCATCCAGGATAACTCCTGGATCCACAGCAGATAATCATTGAATGTCTTCTTTCTCTTTCTCTTTCTCTCTCTCTCTCTCTCTCTCTCTCTCTCTCTCTCTCTCTCTCTCTCTCGCGGTGGTGGGCGGTGGGATGGAGTGGGGGGAACAGAGTTTCACTATGTTGCCTAGGCTGACCTTGAACTCACAATCCTCCTGCCTTAGCCTCTTGAGTAGCTAGGACTACAGGTGCTTGCTACCATGCCCAGCTGAATATGTTCTAGATGAATGAACAAACACAGGTGCTCAGAAAATCCTAGCTATGTAGTGGCTGACTGATATTTTTGCCTAGAATTCTGAAATACTGGAGATTTTTCACATGAAAGAAAAATGTTGAAACTCATACCAGTATTCTCCCTTTTCCTGAATAACAATGGTCTCTGCCCCCATTTTTTCCTTAGGAGATCCTCTATCCAGTGAGCAGAATGAGGATTCGGAAGGAAAATTCTAGGGATAGGCCATTGATAGAACACTGAGTAACTCCCGCTGTGGCTGGCACCATGGCCTGCAGCTGGCCCAGAGGTACAGTGCATTCAGTGCCTACTACTGGATCCACAGATCACCTCAGGCTTCAGTTCAGAACCAGGCCCAAATCCCAGAGAGCAGTCTCTGAACTGTATCATGACAAGATGGGTGAGGGAGACTCTCTCTGTGCCCCATATCCCCCACAACCCACATCCTCAGATGCATGTACACACATAGTCCAGCATTACCTGCTAAGATGAATTGCAACTTAGTGGCATCAGGTATGGCAATGCGGTCAATGTACTCAGGATCCAGGTATTTGATCAGGTCTTCAACTAGAAAGGTAGGAAGATGAAAAATAGAGCATGGTGGGGAAACAGAACTCTGTCTTATAAAGTAATTTTGGGTGTGGTCATCCTTGGAGAGAGCTTTGAAAGATGAGCTGACACCTATAGTGCTGCATCAGGAGCATCTACCAAGTTCCCTATTCCTCTTCCCTGTTTCTCCACTCTTCCTACCTGCTAGCTGACCTCAGAGTCTGGAGCTAGAAACACAACTGCTGCCACCATTCACGGGTCCCTAGCACTGCCACTGATCCTTAGCAAGGGTGGAAGGTTCCTTTCTTCCTTAATGCCTAGACAAGCCAGGGCTTGTTTTGATTTCTAGTTACTGAGCAGGTTACTAGCTGTAACAGAACAAAAAAGGCTTGGTTGAACCAAGGCTGGGATTCTCAGTGCCTCATTTCTTTCCTTCTCTTATCCTCATCTAAAGAAAACTCATATACTCTTTCCCTCCTTCACCAAGGGAAGCTTTCAGTAAGAGGTCTCATCACAAAACTTAAGACCCTGGCATGGGCTTGAGATTTATTCATAAGGAAGAAAAGCACACCACAATTCACCAATTTGGCAGGGAAACATCTTCACATTTTTTCTGTCTTCAAAGAATTACTCTAGTGACCTGCTGGCTGAAGGACCAGGGTCAGGTTCCAGGAAGCACAGGGATGGAAAGTAGAGCAAGTAGGGACCCCGTGGAAGCACTTACTCTTTTTGTACAGAATCTTCACCCTCTCCCTCTTACTGGCAATGTTCCCCAAAGCCACCTGCACCTTGACCAGACCATCAGCCACCTGTAAGGGGAATGGAGGTTAATTGAAAGATATACCACCTGGCTCAAGGCTTGGAAGAAGTAAAGAACCCTCATTCTCCCAGACTCCAAAACCTCTGAGTCCCRGTAATCTAGTTTGGTCCCCTTCTTTTGAAGATGAAGCCCAGCTTCAGGGAATCCTTAATGGGAAAGGAAAAGAATCATAAATTTCTTGGGGAGTTTCAAGTTTGTTTCAGTAGACAATTAATTACTTTAGAGTTTATACAGAACCAGCATATATTACATATTCCCTGGTTCCTAAATCCTTGGGCATGAGAGATGCAAAATCTTCTCCAGGCTGTCATTATCTCATGACTGGATGACGACACCAGCTGCTGGAATGACTGGCCTATCTCTAGCCCCATCCTCTCCACATCAACTCTAGTGTGGAGAATGGAAGATCATAGAAGACATCTAGGATCCCAAAGATGCTGCAATCCCTGTATTAGGGCATATATAAAAGAATCAGGTCGGGGAGAGGTAGAGTACAGTTAAGAGCATAAGGATTGAGTTTGAGATGTCTGTTGATTATTCAAATGGAAAAGTGTGGAAGACAAATGGATGTTAAATCAGGTTCTCAGAATAGAAATTTTAACCAGAGATACACATTTGAGACATAATGGCAAGTAAGGAGTAAATGAAATTATAGGAGTGAATTGGCCCACCTAGGATTTAAGGGTAGAAGGTGAGAAGTTTCACTATTCACTGGTTAAATAGAGGAGGCAACTATGGAAGTGAATGAGCTCACCCAGGTTTTAGGGTATGAGTACAGAATGCTAATAGTCTAGGGTCAAATATGTGGGTAGGCAAATAAGACTGAAAACAACAGCCAAAGAGATAGAAGAAATATCAGGCAGGCTAGAGTCATAGACGCCAAAGACAGATAATGTTTTGGGAAGTTAATTTTCAAATGGGAAAACAATCTGCTGGTGATGACCAATTCCACAAGGGTACAAACAGCACTATTTATGATGCACTTAGTTCCAGAATATCCTGGCATGAACCAGAAGTTATTCAGTAATTGGGTTTCCAATTGTAGAAAAAAGGATTAGAGGGCAACTGGCTCTCACACTTGTCAAAATTTAATCACTGGTGTGGAGTGCCGACCAGCATCTGAACACCCAGTACCCAAACCCTGACACTCCTATTCTTGGCCTTCTCAGACCTCCACCTCTCACCCCTTATCCACCTCTGCTGGGCCTCCTTTGGCGTCCCATGGACCTCTACCTGCACAATTCATTTAGCTTCTAACTACGGAGGGCTCCGGGATGGCACTTCCATTGTGGACTTCAACTCCTATTGAAACTCTCATTAGCTTCTCGAGGGTGTCAGGTCTCCCCAACTAGCCTGCAAGGACAGTAGCCGAGTCTTAATTACACTTGTCACTGAGCCCATCTCAAAAAGACCTAACTATCCTCAGAGCCCACAGTGGGAATGAACCCTGAGGGTACTATAGGCTTCAGAATGTCCCGGACCTTTGTTATTTCAAAGGCTGGACTGTGGACCACAGGACTGGAGTCGTTGCATCCATCCAGAGGGCCGGACCAGTGGACTGCTCTTGCCCTGCCGCAGAAACGGACCACCGGACCGGAGCTCTCACCTTCCGCGTGCCGCGCGCCCCGCTCGGCCCGTACACCCAGCGCTCCAGCTCCTCTACTCGGGCCTGTAGCCGCTGCACGTCCGTCAGAGCCGCCATCCCCACTACCGCCCCACCTCAGCAGCGGAAGACTCAGAGGGTGGGACGTCCGCCCAAGGAGGAAGGCTGGCCAATCCGAGTGCACGGATGGCTCTGTGTGCAGGAAGTGACGCCTTGATCCAGCCATTCAATGCCCGAAGTGACCAGACGGGCAGGTAAAAGATGTCAAAAGCTGTCTAGTTACCTTGGTGACGCTATCTCACCGGTCTCTTCCCTGGCTTCCAGCGCCTGGTTATCAAGACTTTTCCTTTCTTCTTCTAATTTCATACCAAAGACTTTCCCCCACCCCTTTCCCTAAGGTTGTACGTATAAATATACCCACTGTTCCGCGATAGGTCCATTCCCATAGACAACTCAGTAGGAGGGCTCATGGACTTTTAAAGTCCATGAAACTTTTAAGATTCAAGAGACTAAGTGACTTGCCCAAGGCTGGACAGCACTGTTGTAAAAGAATCGGGATTTGAACTCGAGCAGTCTGATTCAATGTTCTTCTGTTCTCACGGAGTTTTGATATTCTGCCTTCTCCTCAGAGCCCCCCTCCCCCATCTAATGCTGCCTGTGTACCACATCCTTCCAACCCCCCCACCCATTCAGACCAAACAAGAAGAGGAGGCACTGGAGTGGGAGGGAGCGCAACTTTATTAGGAAATGTAACCTGAGGGACATCTTCAACAACACCCAATCCAACCCTTCACCTGGCTCCTGAAAGGCTATGTGCCAAAGATGGTATTGACACAAAGGGCATATGACAAGATTATGGGGGTTGCTTCTGGAAGAATCCTTTGGTAGATGCTGTGGAATTGACTAGGGAGGTGGTGCCCTCCTTTTACAATGAGGTAGATGGAACGTCAAAAGAAAACCTTTTGGCATGGAGGTGGGGTGTGGTCATCTCCCAGGGCTGGGTCCCAGAGTGAGCATCCTGAAAGAATCAAGGCAGAAGGGTGCCTCCTCCCCCCTCAGCAATGGARCTGGGACTCTTAGTTCTGAATAGGAGCTCTCAGGGCAAGGTGCTGGAAGGGTGCCCAGTAGAAGGTGGGGGTGCAGGGTTGGTTGGGCCCTGGGAAGCTGGCACAGGCTGGCGGCGAGCAAAGAGAACACCTGGCAAAGGGGTGAGGAAATGGCAAAAAGCAAACACAAGCAGGAGAGGGTGGGACACAGAAACAGAAGGGAACAAAAGTAAGTGTCCTGATTGCTAGAGTACCACACACATACCCTTGTCACAACCAATGAGGACAAGTCCCTTTGGTAGGTGAGAAACTCCTATGCCAATGCAGATACCCTCAAACAGGTAAAAAAGAAATATTGACACTAATACATAGGCCCATGACAAGGCAGATATCCCATGATCACCACGCCACAGAGGCCATGCCTTGGACCCCATGCCATAAACACACCCTTTAACCCATGCCAGTGTAGCAATCCCCTGAACCCCATGTTACCATGCAAGTTCAGCTATCCCTGAACCTCATGCTAGTAGAGAAAAATCTAAAACCCCCATGCTAGTCTAAATACCCCTGACTCCATGCCAGTGTAGACAACCTACAGTACCCATACCAGTGTAGACCACCCCGTTGATCTCTAGCGCCATGTTGATACTGCTGATGCCACTGCCTGCCAGACTGAGGGGCCCATCCAGCCGCTCTTCTGTCCAGGAGGGGGAGTAGTCACATTTCAGGGAATCAGATTTCAGACTTAGAAGTCCCYCATTTCTATAGATGGCCCACATTTCACTTTAGCCCCCATACCTGTAATCACACTTGTCTATAGAGGGAATTGGCTGCCCACCTTCATTACCTATCAGGTCATGGGTCTATCTTCCCTCAGTGCATAGGACTGAAGACCCCTCATCAACAAGCCATTCCTCACCCCTCAAGGGAACTTTGCTGCGGGGCAGGAAACTGGGGGGTGCACTGGGTCGAGGTGGGTCCATAGGGCTCATTAGCACAGCCCTCTTCTCTGGAGGCTCCTCTGTTGCCAACTTTTCCCGTGCTGGTCCCAAGGCAAGGCCCACAGGTAGTTGCAGATGAGGGGTTGGAATTCCACTCTCCTCTGGAAGAACAAGTCATTACCTCCTCAGGCCCAAGCAATGTGGTTCTTCCCCAAGTCTGGGACCAAGAGAGGTCATCCAAGCTCAAAGCACCAACTTCAATCTYTCTTCCCATCCAGAACTTCAGGCTAGAGGCTGGGGTGTGGTGTCAAGCCCAAAGGGCCAATATATAGGTTTGGGTTGGTTTAAGAGAATTTGGGAGACTTTCTTGTTCTTGGTTGTCAAATAATCCAAGACATAAGGAGGCAGACCACATGTAAACAGGAGTCCTGGGTGCATAGGGGTGGACTGAAGCTGCTATGGATAAAGCTGCTATGGACCTTTTCCTGAGCTTGGTACCTGGTACACCGGGTTAAGCCTTGGAGTCAAGGCTTTATTGACTCCAAACTTCAGGACTTCTATACCTTAGCAATACTCAAACTTCAGAGCCCAGTCAAGTCTTGTTGCTCCCAAATTGCAATGCCTCCCAGACCTCAGGATCCCTACTATTTCTTTATTTCTTTCTTAAAATATTTTTAGTTGTTGATGGACACAATACCTTTATTTTATTTATTTATTTTAGGTGGTGCTGAGGATGGAACCCAATGCCTCATACATGCAAGGCAAGTGCTCTACCACTGAACCACAACCCCAGCCCCCACTATTGATTTATTTATTTACCTATTTATTCTATTGTGGACTGAGGCGTGCTTTTCCACTAAGCTGCATCCCCAGCCATTTTTATTTTTTATGTTGACCGTTTATGTTGCTAAATGATCTTGCTGCCTTTGAACTTGCAACCCGTGCCCCGCAAAATCCTTTCATTAATGTTTCCTACATCTCAGAGCACGCATAGACCTCAAAACCACCCCGCCCCCAAAGCCTCCTGGGTTCCTCTCACCTTTCTTAATAGGGCTGGGACTCAGCTGGGCGCAAGCAAGCGCTGGTAGGCCAGAGGCGGAACCCTGGGCGGGTCCAGAACCAGGGCCGGAGAGAGGCGCGGGCGGGGCTGGGCCAGGGCCAGAGGCGGGGCCGGGAGCGCCCCTAGCGGGTGGCCCTGCGAAGGTGAAGAGCGGAGCTGCGGTGTAAGCCTGGCGACGGCCCTCGCGCCGATTGCTGTCTATRGCGGCCTGGAGTTCCCCCGGGGAGCTGAGCGCCCGCGTCTCGCACTCGTACGGGTACAGGTACTTCATGTACCTAGAGGCGGATCGGGGCGGGGAAGGGAGGCTGGGCCCAGCCGGTCAAGTCCCGCACCGCGCCGCCCTCCACATCCACACCCCCCACCCTGCGTGCCCTTCCCTTCCGCCAGCACCCCAGGCCTCACTGGGTGCGGAGAGTGAAGGCGGCTGAGGTGATGGTGGTGGGCAAACTGAGGCCCCGCGTGACCTCCCGCCACACTTTTCGGTTGATGACTTCCACCAGGCCGCCCTTAGCGGTCACCAGGCGAAACAGCGCGTACAGGTCCAGCACCTGCTTCGCCATGATGGGCACACGATTCACTGGTGTCCCTGATGGGGAGTAGGCAGAGAGTCAGAACACCAAGTAGGCCCTATCTGAGGGCATCCCTGGGGGCTGAGGGAGTTGAGTGCCTGCACTAGGCTTAGAGAGGGAAGGCAGAGGGATAGGGAGGTAGGATTACAGGCAGAGCCCCCAGATCCTCCAGGGCCTCCATCGTAGCAGGAAGGACGGGAGTCTTGACCAAGGGTCAGCAAACTTATTCTGTAAAGGGCCAGATAGTAAATATTTCAGGCTTTGCAGGCCAATAGATCTCTGACACAACTAGTCAACTCTACAATTGTAGCCTGAAAGCAGCCTTGGAGAATACCTACTAGAGAATGGGTGCAAATGTGTTCCAATAAAACTTTATTTGCAGGCTCTGAAATTTGAGTTCCACAAGCTACAAATGTTATTCCTCTTTTAATTCTATTTTCCAAATTGGTTAAAAAAAAAAAAAAAGAAAGAAAGAAAAGAAAAGAAAGAAAACCATTGTATCTCGAAGGTAACTGGATTTGGCCTGAAAGCTTTAGTTTGCCCGTCAATCCCCGGGGTAGACTGTAGGAAGGACTAGGGGAGAGCTGAATTCCCCTAAACAGCAGCCCCCAATGGCTGCCCAAGGCGGAGGTGGAGGGGAGCGGGGGCGGAGAACCATGGCAGGTGGAAAAGAATCAGTTCCTGCCTGGGCCCCGCCAACTCTGCAGCCAGCGCCACCCCCGCCAGCCAGTCCTGACAAAAGGGCCTGTCTCCGCTGAGCGATGGGCCCCAGTTAATTCCTTACCGATCCCGTCCCCCTTCCACCGCTGCCTTTGGACCCGAACAATTAGCTGCGGCCTGATTAATGGGGGGAAATTATCGGCCCTGCGGGACCGCCCTCCCCCACTCCCCACCCCCCAACCGGGCAGCCCAGAAGAGGGAAGCAGGGACTTAAAGGGAGGCAGAGCTGGGGGTGTGGGTAGTGCTGGGATCAGCTCAGACTACCCCACCCCATTCTCAGCATAGAGAAGGCCCCAAGGAAGAGGCAGAGAGGGGACACTGGGACCAGAATAACCAGTGTTCCCTGGGGAGCAAGAGGTCCTGGGACCCCACCAAGTGTCCCTGGGAAGGACAGAAAGGGATGCTGGGCCTGGGTGGTGGTCCAGGGAGACTTGGACCAGCAGCTGCACTAAGGGAGGGGGGGCTGCAGTGCAGCCAGTTAATTAGCGGCTTATCAGGCTGCGCTCTGAGTGAGTTAATTAGCTTTGTAGAGAGAGATAATGAGTCAGTGTTCAGTCCCATGAATCTGGGGAGAAGCTGAAGTGATGGACTTCGGCCCACCCTGATCCCCTCCTGGACCCTTCTTGCATTATTTCTTCCAGCTCTGGAAAGGAATTCCTTCTCTGCCAACTTCCCATACTTACATGGTCCCCCAGCCCACCCCTTGGGAAGTCCTTCCTTCAGTCTAACCCTAGTCCTTCCTGCTACAGAGCACATGGGGAATTCCCTGACTGAAGCAGAGGAAAACTGAGAAAAGACAAGGTTGGAGGAACTGGCCCCCCACCATAGAGAATTAAGGCATTACCAACCCTCCAGTACTGGGACCCCACTCCACCCCAAGCCCGTCACCCATCAGTTCCTCCTCCCACCCTCCCAATTGATTCCACACTCATTAAGCTGCCAGTGGGCTGGTGACTAATTAATCCTGGGGTGGAGAAGGGGGGCAGGGTCAGAGGTTAAAGACACTATTGAAGGCCTAAAGGACAGGTACTGCCAACCCTAGGCCCCTGCTGGGAGGACCCCACCTGGGGACTACATCCTGGTGTCTCCCTTCCTCAAACCTGGTAAATGGGGGCAATTCTAGGTCCTTCCCTGCATCACCTCACTCACCCCTCTTCTGCATGAAGCTAAACAGGTCATCCAGAAATTCCTTCCTCTTGGGGTCTGCATCAAGTTCATACAACTGGGAAAGGACCAGGGTCACTCTTTAGCTCCATAGAACCCCCTCCCCTGGGACCCCAATTCAGGTTGTATCCTGAACAAGAGTCCCTAGCTGAAGGGGTAAGTTGGGCCTGAATATGGACCCCCTGGTATTAGGCCCATCCCAGGGGTAGGTAGGGGTGCCTTTTTCTAAAACACACAGATCCATCCTGGCTAATGGTGCTCTGGGCATCTCAAAACACTCATAGGGAAATTATAGGGAAGAGGGGAAGCAGGAAGAAGCTCGGGCTGCTTATCCTGTCCTCGGRGAGGACATTCCCTAGGAAAGAAGCCAGGCTACGTTTGTGCTCCACTCTGAGGAAACTGCTGTGTTGTCTGAGGCATCATTCATTCTCATTCCTGTGCAAGGCCCTCATGCTGTTCACATCCTTGTGTTCTGGGGTTTGTGTTGTGTAAAAGGCAGGAAGGATGCTCAGGGACTCCTGGATTGACCTTCTGGCCTGAGCTTCCAGAGGCAGTTACCCTGTGCCTACTGAGGAAGCTGCCACAGAGGCACTGGCCAAGTGCCACAGGACCTTCGGGGTTAAGGGATGAGGGACCTACCAGTCATCCTTCTAATTSCTAGTCACCTAGACCCCTGTCCCAAGCATCACCTCTCAAATCTAAGAAGAGCAATTCCCAAAGTAATAGTCATTGACCCAGAATAACAGTCCCTGAGTAACACCTATAGGTAACACTCCATCCCCCAATAAGAACTTTCAGAGAAAAGATCACCCATGAGTAACAAAACCTGGAGAGTCACATGCCCACAACACAGAGCCCTAAGTCTTAGATGAATAGCTATAAATAATATTCACACTCTCCAAGTAATAAGTCCCAGAGTAACAGTCACGAGGGCCATATCTCTGGAGTAACAGGACCCTGAATAACACATTCTTTCACTAATGCCACAGAGTTCTAGCCACAGATGAAGACATCTAGAAAACATTGAAGACCAACAAACACCCTGCAAGTAATGCTATCAGAATAGCACACCTGGAGTCACAGACCTGAATAACACCTTCATAGTGACAGCCTGGCCTAGTATCCTTAGAATAAAATCCAGAGGGTTTCTGAGGGAGAAAGAACCTTGAATTAAGGTCATGTGAGTAAGTCTTGTCATTCTCAGCTGCATAGGGGCCTTTTAGTCACACTGTAGCTGTAGTGGCCAACACAGACTAGGAACTATCATCCATGAAGTTTAGGCCAGGTCGAACATTTGGATGGGAGAGTGGTGTGATAGGAAAGAGGAGCCTGCCAAGGGAGTGGCAATATCTATTCTGCCTCCAAAGACAGAGGGAAATGGTATGGGACACTCCTACTGGCCCTGGTGACTTGATGTGTGAAAGGGTAGGTAGAGTGGTGCTGGTACAGGAATTCCCAAGCCCCAGAACCCTCTCCCTCAAAGCCCTCTACACCTCCCACCTTTTTTATGGACTCACTAATGGCTTCCAATTTGTCAGTCTCCGTGTTTTGGGGTGTCTTCTGCACCTCTTAGAATTGTTTTTGTGCACTTTCCACATATCTGAGTGTCTTTTCCACCCTGTCTATCCCCCAGTCTTGTCTGTCTCTGTCTCTCTCTCTCTAGGTCTCCGTGTCTGCCTTTCCTTCCTTTAGAGGGCGTTGGGGATGGAGGGACTACTGATCACCTGGCTCTGCTTTTGCCCAGAGGGAAGGAAGGGGGGAACCCTTACAGTGAGGGAATCCTACCTGCTTGAACTGCTCCTCATAGGTCCACTCGTGGGGATGGGGTCCAGGGGGCTGGCTGGAAGGTGAGCTGGGGCCCTGGGCCCTTGGACAACTCTCATCAGTTGCCTCCTGCTCTGCTCCAGCTTCCTCCCCCTCCTCATCCTCTTCAGCATCCTCCTCTTCATCAGCCCCAATTTCCCCCAAGGCCCCCTCTGGAGCCTGCAGGGTCTGGGGACTAGGAAAGGGAGGTCGGGATGGCAGCGGTGGATGTGGAGGAACCAAGGGCCCCACCCCTTGGGCCAGACGAGCAGCCTGCTGTCTCTGCAGGACCTCCATTACAGCTTCCAGGCGCAGTCCCCCTGCTGGGGTCGGCCCTGGTACCAGGCGGGGCCCAGAGGAAAGGGCCATCTGTGGGGGAGGGAATTATGGGTGCTGGGCCTTGCTGCCCTACACCCCTCAACACATGGGAGGTGGTCATGGATTCAGGGACATGCAGGGGTTCTTTAAAAAAAAAAAAAAAAAAAAAAGACAGAGCTTTCCTAGAGATGTACAGAGACAGAGATAGAAAAAACAGGAGATACAGAGACCAGAACCAGGGAGTAAGAAATAGCCATGACTGAGGACAGGGAGAGGCTAAGCAAATCATAGAGGGTGACAAGGACCAAGGGAGATAGAGGAGAGGGAAAGAGAGATATGAGAAAGGGGGTGGGGAGATTGATTGAATATAACAGAGATACACAGATAGAGATGGAGATGGGACAAGGAGAGACTGAAGTGGACTGAGAGAGACCAAGATGGAGAGAGACAGAGATTAGACAGAAACATAGATGGGAAAAGATGAGATTGATAGACATTGGGTAGAATGACAGGAAGGGTAAGAGAAAGGAACAAGAAATAAAGGATGTAAGTGACAGGCAGTCCAGATAGAGACATAGACAGAGTGAATCGAATAGAGACAGGTTGAGAGAGATAAGGAAAGACCGACGACGCAGCAGAAGACAGAAGAGAGGTAATAGAAAGAGATGGGGCGAGACACAGAGACGGAGAGACAGGCAAAAACAGACTGAAACAGGGCAGGCAAAGGACAAGAATCAAGCAGGTGCAGGAACAGAGGGCGGTGGGGGCAGTGATTGGGAGCGGGACGAGACCGGACGGGCAGGAGGTGGCGGAGTCACTGCGCCCAGCTCTCTGGCTCCCGGCACCCGACAGCCGCACTCACCGGCCTGGCGCGGCCCGCTGCCCCCGGTGTCTCCACGGCGGTCCCTCTGCTCCGCCCGCCTCGGGGGCAGCCCCTGCTTTCGCTTGGTTCCTGGCTCAGGGTCCCCGCCGCCGTGCGCTCTTGCCGTCCTGCGCTACTCTGGCAGTGGCGCGCTCACTCGCGGCAGATCTGCTGGCTGCGGTCGCGGGGGCGGGACCCGAGCCCCGGAAGGCGGGCGGGGATGCAGGGGGGAGAGGCCCCTGTGGGCTCTGCTTCTCTCAACCCCCCAACAGGTGTCTCCCACCTTCCTTACAGCCAGACTCCGGGGGAGGGGCGCTGGAGAGCCACGGGAAATCCAGAGCGTGAGGAGTCCACCGTCGCTGGACTCTGGACTAGGAACCCGCCCCACCTCACCAAGACACCCGACACCCATTCTCAGTGCCAGGCGTGCACACACGAACAACCGCTTTCACACACCAACACACCTTGTCATAAGTTCAGGCACGTAGCTGCTCAATTTTACACACTGGGTTCCATGGCACTACGGCGTCAGAGACCTGGGCTGGCTGTGATCACTAGTGAATCACTCTGCGGGATACTGGGGTGAGTGTTGAGCCTGGCCAGAACAGAAGCTTCTTCTCCTGCTCTGTCCACATGCTGTCCTCAACTGCATGCGTGATGCAGTTTACACACAGGTGTGCATATGGCGATGTATCCACACCTATGTACTCCCACACTCAGAGGTCTTTGAGCTGCCTATGCACCTGCAGCAAGGTATAAGCACCACATGCAACTACACAACTACATACAGTTCTGTCTTTTAAAAAATCTCTTGACATTCTATTATATATTTCCAAAGGTGCACAGGAGAAGAATTAAGAGTATAATGAGCCCCAGGCACTCATCATTTAATTGTTTCACAAGTGATCAGCATTTTGCCCACTTTCACACACATTCTCCACTTGTGTGTTCCTGACACCCAAATCTCTATTTCCCCTCAGTCAATTGCTTTGGTCCCACCCTACCCCAACTATCCACCAGATGCTGTTCCTTTATTGGGGTTCCTAGGTGCCAGGCCATGATTTCTCTGAGCAGCTTGGAYCCTATTCCTCTGGGACACCCCTATACTTATCCAGTTTTATTCGGTGCCCAAGGAGACCTCTACCTACCAAAGGCATGATGATCATCCTAAGGTGAGGGAATAGTAGGTGTCTGTAAGGGTGAAACATAGTATGGGTATGCAGTACCAAGGACCATTCTCAATGAGGTCCTTGGGTGACCTCATATCCAGTGAGGCCCACATGCCCAGGGCCATGATTCCTTTAGAGGGCAGGAATCTAGGAATGACCTTGTCTCTTTGCTCCTCCCTCCCGCTCTTCAAATCAGTCCACTCATCTCAGCCTCAGCTTGCCCCAGCCCAGCCCATCGGTTCTTCTCACCAGGATCTATGTTGGATGCCTGCTTTCCTCCTTCTCTGCAGCCCAGATCTAAGTCCTTGCTCTCTATGGAACATTCCACCACTTCCCCATAGCAGTTGGCTATGATTTCTCCTGAGGCAGAGCCAAATCTTCTCTGCCCACTCACCCCTATGCTGGGCCCACAGAGGGGAGAACTGGTGAATGCAGAGAGGCCAATAATCATGCCCTCCTCATTTTGTGGATGACTAGAAGGCAGAGCTTAGAAATCCATGGAACTCCAGTGTCCAGCTTGCTTCTCTTTCCCCCAGCTTCCCAGGGCTGCTCACAATGTCTAGAGAGATAGATTTCTCTTGAAAAGGTAGGAACTTTCTTGGGGAAATTCAGTTCTGAGGGTTTGGAGATTGCTTTTTGCAGAGTTTGGGTTGGGGGAGGAGAGAGGCATGGAACTGAGCAGCTACCCCTTTCCCTTCAAAATAAAAAGTATCAAGCAAAATAAACACACCTTTGTGGTCTGAGCTGGGAGGGCTACAACTGGGAAGGGTTAAGGGGAAGGAATAAGCCTGAGTAGAACCTAGTTTTTCTTTCTCTTCATCTGTGAAAAGGAAAGGCTGCCTCTCAYACCCACACAATAGTCTGGCCCTATACTTTACAGAGACAAAGACAAAATAATCTAGACCTGAAGAAACCAATACTTCATTAATCCAACATATATTTATTGAGTACCTACTTTATGCCAGAAACTTCTGGACACAGGTGTAAATAAAACAAAGTCCTTGTTATAATACATAATTCTAGTGGAGGAAATTTATATTGTGTCTGATGGTGATAGATACCATGGAGAAGGGAATAGAAACTGGAAAGTGTATTGGTTATCTATTGCTGTGTAACAAATTACCACTAAACTTAGGAGCTTAAAACAAACATTATTTTCTCACAATTCCATGGGTTGGGGATTCACAAGTGGCTTAGCTAGGTGGTTCTGACTCATTCATTGTCTTTTATGAGACTATARTAAAAATGTTGGCTAGGGCTGCATCTGAAGCCTTGACTGGGGCTGGAAAATTCACTTTCAAGCTATTGATAGGAGGCCTGTTTGTCCCCCACATGGACCTCTATACAGGATTGCTTGTGTATCCTCTTGAAAAGGCAGGTGATTTCTCTCAGAGTGATCCAAAAGAGATTAAAGAAGCTGCAATGCTTTTTATGGTCCAGTTCTAAAAGTCACACACTGTCACATACATTGTTAAAGTACATAAATAAGTCTAGTCCACACTCAAAGAGAAGGAAATTAGACTTCACCTTTTGAAAGGAAGAATACCAAAACTTTTTGCAGAGTGAGCTGGAGTGYAGCTCAGTGGTAGAGCATTTGCTTAACATTCACAAGGATCTGGGTAACATCCCTAGCACTCACAGAAAAAGAAATTTGTGGAGGTATTTTAAAAACCACCACAGAATGGGACGCATTATGTAAGTGTTAAGTGAAGGACTCTTTGAGCAGGAATTAAAAAAGGGAAGGACAATAGCTATAAAGATATATAGGAGGTACTGTGGCTGTGGCTCAGTGGTAAAGTGCTTGCCTTGCATGTGTGAGGCACAAGGTTCAAGCTTCAGCACCAGGCAAAAATAAAGATACTGTGTTTTCATGTACAGGTAAATAAATATTAAAAAAAAAAGATATATAGGAAAGAGCTTTGAAGTCAGAATAGACAATGCAAATATCCTGAGGTAGAAGGGTACTTGATGGGGCTGGGGATGTGGCTCAAGCAGTAGCACGCTCGCCTGGCATGCGTGTGGCCTGGGTTCGATCCTCAGCACCACATACAAAGATGTTGTGCCCGCCGAGAACTAAAAAATAAATATTAAAAAATTCTCTCTCTCTCACTCTCTCTTTAAAAAAAAAAAAAAAAAAAAAAAAAAAAAGAAGGGTACTTGATATGTTGGTAGAGAAGCTAGGCCACTGGTCCTACAGTAGTTGAGTTGGATGCTTGGTCAGAGGTAACATGGGCTTGGAGTAGGCCAATGGAAGGGGTGAAAGGACAGTGAGATGCAAAACCGTTGGAAATGTCTCAGGAGCTTGAAAGTCTGCCTCCAGCTGCTGTGTGAGAAACAGCAAGCGTGATCAGTTTACATGGTCATTGCAGTGGTCCAGGCAAGTGATGATGGTGTTTTTGTCTTGAGTGGTTGCAGTGAAGTTGGCAAGAAGTGGCTAGAGTTTGGATATGTTTTGAAGATAAAACAGATTCATTGATGGATCAGATATGGGATAGAAAAGAATGAGAGATGTCTAAGAGAACTCCAAAGTTTTTGGTCTGGAGAGCTGAATAAATGGGAGTGTCCTAAATTAGAGAGTAAAGACTACAGTGGGTGGAATGGGCCAGGATTGGGAGAGAAATCAGTTTACTTTAGCATCTAAAGTATGAGATAACTATTAAACAGCCAAGTCAAAATGTTCAATAGAGATGGAACTCCAGGAAGAGATGTAGGCTGAGACAAAGATTTAGAAGTCAAGATATATAGATGGTATTTAAAGTCATGAAATAAATTGAGATCACTTGGGAGGGGACATAAAAAGTTTAAGGACCAAGTCCTCAGAAGTCAGAAGTTGAGGAGATAGGGTTGACAAAAGAGGCAATAAAGGAAAAAAGTATCCTAGAACCTGAAAGTGTTTTAGAAGTGATTGCTTTTGTCAAAAGAAAGGTGAGAACTATGAAATGAGTACT